AAATACATAAATACTCTCTTCAGTTTAAGCTTGAATTTTGCTATGAGAAGATGATGATCAGAGCCACAATCAGCACCAGGTCTTGTTTTTGCTGACTGTATAGAGCTTCTCCGTCTTTGGCTGCAGAGAATATAATCAATTTGATTTCGGTATTGCCCATCTGGTGATTTCCATGTATAGAGTCGCCTCTTGCGTAGTTTGAAAAGAGTGTTTGTGATGACCAGCTTATTCTTTTGACAAAACTCTATTGGCCTTTGCCCTGCTTCATTTTGAACTCCAAGGCCAAACTTCCCTGGTGTTCCTTTTATCTCTTGACTCCCTACTTTAGCATTCCAGTCCCCTAGAATGAGAAGAACATCTTTCTTTGGTGTCAGTTCTAGAAGGTGTTGTAAATCTTCATAAAATTGCTCAGTTGCAGTCTCCTCAGCATTGGCGGTTGGTGCATAAACGTGGATTACTGTGATGTTGAATGGTCTGCCTTGGATTTGTATTGACATCATTCTATCATTTTTGAAATTATATCCCATTACAACTTTTCTCACTCTTTTGTTGACTATGAGGGCTACTCCATTCCTTCCATGGGATTCTTGCCCACAATAGTAGATATGATAATCATCTGAATTTAATTCGCCCATTGCCAATTCCTATTCCAGGTGAAATGCATTTAGTTGGAACTCTCCACTATGACCTGTCCATCTTGGGTGTCCCTGCACGGCATAGCCCATAGCTTCTCTGAGTTACTCAAGCCTCTTTGCCAGGACAAGGCAGCAATCCGTGAAGGGGGGTTTGAATGTAGTATGCCCCAAATAGAAATGTACGACTCAATTCAAATATAAAAGAAAATCACAGCCTTATGATCTTGTGCATAATTTAGAGCCAGAGGTGGGTAACACCTTTATTAGACCACTGAAATATCATAAAGATGCAAGTTTTCCATTCCTGAAGGAATTTTTACCAGACAGAATAAAACTTGGTGGGAGTAGAAACAATTGAAAAACCATCCTGACTCTATTGAAACTGTCATTAAACCGTATAGTGGAGAAGTCACTGAGTGACCAAGATCACTTTGTAGAAATGAAAGCAATTGACTTTAAATCCCTTTAGGTGACACCTGGTAACTACACCTCAAAGTTCACTATTTCAGAGCTTCAGTTTCCTACAGATCCAACAACTTAAGCACCTAGCTAGGAAGATTTTGGGACTTTTATCTTCACCTCCTCTAGTAATTGCTCAGCCTAATGAAAAGTCCCCCAGGACTTTGAAACCTGCTTGTTTATGATATTTTAATAGTCTAATAAAAATTTACCCAGCTCTGTTTTTAGTTTTTGCACAGGACCATGTGGCTGTGGTTCTCAGTTCAAACATAATATTGGAGGTGGTTAATTTTAATCCAGGTTAAATTCCCATTGCTGTGTTGCTGTAATATAAATAGATGTGCAAACAAAAATAGGAAACATGACTTTTTTGCATAACAGCTGCTGGAGTACGTAAACAATTGGCTAAGAATCGGGGGGTTCTATGTTTGTTTTGTATTTTTTTAAATAAATTACTATTATTTTTCATGCATGTTGCGTGACACTCCTGTTGGAGTACAGTGGGTGGAAGCTTAAATGGCACCAATAGTTTTGTAGTTAAACATAAAGTTGTCCCATTCCATTTAAATAGTTTTAACAGCAAAAGGGCTATAAGCCTTCTGTATAAGCCCACTAGTGGGCAGGGATATAGTGGAACCAAGACCTGCAAGGTTGATGCCCTCAGATCTTCTGATTAGCAGTGACTATGATATCATCATCCACACCCATCCCAAGAATTCCTTGCTGCCAGTGAACAACTGCAATTCTGACAATAGTTGGGTAAAAAAAGAATTTCCCCAGGAATAGTATATTGTAGCCAGCCATCCCTCTCACAATGCAATGTATTTGTAGGTGGTTTGGCCTTGAATAAGTAAGAGCCACCAACTTTATAAAAGATCTACTTCTTATTTTTTGACATGGACCAATCCAAGCTGCTTGAATTTTCGAGCTGCAGTTGCTGGAGGTCAGCTGTGAAGATGGTCATGATGAGCACCTACACTACCAGATTCACTACAGCACTACTGGTAGTGGATGTTCTCTAATTTGATGTCAGATTTAGGCAATTTCTAAAGTATTGTATCCCATATATGCTGGAAGACAGGATTTTGTGGAATCTGACTCCCCAGATCCTTCTTTTCTGCTCAAAGGTGTCTCTTGGAAGCTCTTCCTGAAATGGAGTAGGCTATGGAGTGGTGATTGAGGGTAAGCATGGAATTTCCAAAACTTGAGCAAATTCACCTGCCATAAACATGCCTAATCATTAAAGCTAGTTTTGGAGATACCCTTTCATTTACAGCTCTCTACATTGTATCCCACCCATCTAAGAGAGCAACCCACGTAAGAGGCTTTTTAAATGATGCGGGGTGAGAAGAGGGATATGGAGTCAAGTTCTGCAAACTCTCTGCTATCAGTATGACATTAGAACCAATGCTAAAACATTATTCTGATTTGTTAGTTGAGGATTTTTATTATACACTGGCTGAAATCCATGTTGCTGAGTAATGAAAGCGGTACAACTGCTAGACACAAATAACCATACGTTGAGAAATCTCTATAGACAGGGTCTGTTGCATGGTGGGTCATTCAACAGATAATGGCTATGGCAATTCATATCCAAAAGTTGTGTTGTTTTCATTAATTTACAACAGGATTTTACCCACTTTGTGGCTACATGTTTAAACAGAATTTTCGCTGGTTTTGAAGATCACCAATCTTGTCTTTTAGCTTATGTTTTATCAGAGTGTTTTTCAGGGGCAGATATGGACAGGAGGCTTTTTCACTCTGCTAATCTATTTTTACTCTGCATACTCTCCATATGTTCTAGTTAGAAAATGCAACCTTGAAAATGTCCAAAAGAGCACTTACTTGTATTCTCTGCCTGGTGTATGAGGTATATATTAAAGTGAAAGTCACCAGAGTATATGTTTACTTTTTCCCCATTAGGGGCTCAAGATCTTGATCGCATCCGTTTATCTACCTACAGAACAGCATGCAAGCTTAGATTCGTACAAAAGAAATGCAACTGTAAGTATGCCAATGGTTAATTCGAATTACCATCATTAATCTTCCACTGCATGGTTTTGCTTGTTTCCCAGCTGAAATGCAAATAAGAATTTATTTTAATACACATTCAGGAGATGCTAATAAGAACACCTGGCTCTTCAGAAGAGCATGATATCCCACTACTGATAATTATACCCCGAAGTTTAAATGTTTACATGCTGATGGGATAGGTGAGGATGGTGTTTTTTTAAGTGCATCCTCTGAGAAGTAATTTTCTCATCTACTTTCGTCTTGTCAAAATTATGAGATGCACCATAAAATTAAAAAGCCCCTCCCCAAGCTTTCCTTTATAATACTATTATATCTGTTCATTTTATCTCTAAGATTATTTTGTGCAGCTGGGTGGAACTTATTTTCATCTACAGTAACATCAGATAGTAAATTCTGAAAGCAAGAGTTCCACTGTTAGAATGAAAAACAAATTAGCAGGTTTTAATCTGTAAATAACTAATTATATAAGCCGTCCCCGAGGATGTTGTATGTTTCTTAAATTATCAACAGAATACAATTATTTTACAGTATTTTTTTATGATATTTTACATATTATTGGAGCAAAACAGTCCCAAAGTCATTATATGGCATTGGCACAACTGACACTTTTTCATACTTGTGCTGGGTCAGTTCTAGTTACACGCACTGAATAGATCTGAGGGTGGCTCATGGGAAGTCTAGAATTCCATGAAGAGGTCCCTCCTTGATATTGCAAGTGGGATATTAGAATCTCCTAATAATTAAGTGCATATCCCATACTCAACTTTAATATACAGGAGGTGTGACTCCAATGATTGATTGGTTGACTTGTCTTTTTCTGTAATGAAACAATGCAGAGCAATCAAGCTACCAGTTTGATGGGCAATTGCATGGCATAAATGCCAATGCAGAGTTACACAGGAGTTATGTGAGAGCACACCATTGCATAACCAGTTATACAATAGAAACCTCAAGCCTGTGACATTCATTGTGCAGTGGGGCAAGGTAGTTTGGAAAACACAAACATTTATTCAATGTTGCATGTGTGCAGTAGTTGCATTTCTGCAACTCCTTAGATATGTCCCTTTTGCAGTTGGTTATACCTGTCTTGACTATAATGACAGTGGGAAGTGTTCAAATACTGTAGATGTCATGCATGGGGAAAACATGTTAAAGCTTTCATAAAGAACTATGAGAACCCTTGATTCAGATGCTAAGAAAACACAAACATAATGAACAACATCGGTGTAGATCCATCAGTGTATTCAGTGCCAGCAAGATTGTGGATTTCCAAAAAAATGGGAAGCTGGCAGTACTATATGACTTCCAGAATTCTGAATTTCCAGAGATACTGTTCATAGACTTCAAGAGTCTGAAACCTTTCCTTTGCTTAAATTTTTGTTTTGTTTTATTTTGTAGCATTTATTAAAAGGCATCTTCTTGACACATTCTGGACTATTGAGACAGAAGCAGAACCTAACAATATATCACAATTAAAACAACTAAGCATCACTATATACTTAGAACATCCCTGCCATTCATGGTAGGCTTTCCTTGGAGTCTGGCATGATAATTCTGCCATGGTGAGTGTAGAAAAAGGAAAGACTGCTGATTTCCCTAGGTCAGAATAAACAGTTGGCAGCAAAAAGTCTCGAGTTTAAAGCTGGCCAAAATATTCTAATGTGAGGTTTAATTAGAACAGACAAACCAGGAATTATTATCTGTGATGGTTTTTAATTTGGCATCTTGGGAGTTTCAGTGTTGTTTTTAATTCTTCTGTTTTCTTCCAAACATCTTCCTCTGTCTGGTCTTCAGAACAATATGTTTTTTTCATAGGGAATGTAATAGTGCAATACTGCCCAAGAGCAACCTTGTTAACCTCCCTGCCTTCCCCCACTCCAATCCTTCTCTTCCTCATACAGTTCTGCTCAGTTCAACTAGTCAGGCCTCAAAGGCATGGAGGCTAGTCAGCTTCAGTTTCTTACAAGCCTCTGGGCCCCTTTCTCTTCTGCCTGTCACATTATGTTAGCCTTGTATCTTGTCCTGTCTAATGCACAGTAATTCACATCTGTAAATTAAATTCAAGTGTTTTTAAAGATGTACTCCGTTTAGATATTTTTAAACATATTACCTCTGGGCCTATCTCATATCAGTGGCCATTATGTCATCAATCCAGAAGCAATCCCTCACCTCAAACCCAAACAAACCTGGAAGTCAGGAAACCACACTGTATACTAAAAATGTGCAGATGTGCAGTCCATGGTTGGGGAACCAATTCTCTCTGTGCAGAGCAATACCATAAAGAATGCAGGTTAGAAGGAGATTAACACTATGAACATATACATAGCTGCCCCAAAGTAAGCCCCACTGATTTCATGCTACACAAATAGTACTCATGGAGAGCTATTTTACAATAAATACATATGGCTGTATTCTTTCTTTCCTGTTTGCTTGCATTCATCACAGAATTTGATCTGTTTTATGATTTAGTCCTGAAATGTGATTGTCAAAATTAAAAAGGGGCCATGCTGCCTAGCAGGGTTCTGGAACTTGTGTTACAAAAAGGTAACTTTTTCAAATTCTGAGCATGAAGAAACACGTGTAGCAGCAGTGGACATTTGCATAATTCCTGGTCAACATTCCTGCTCCACCATGCTCAAAATACAATAACTTCACTGGCAATATATTTGGGAACTAATATTTGGTGGGGGGAATGATAAGGGATTTATTTTATTCTTATTTGACCTTACATAACTATCTGTGAATTCTTATGTAAAACACTTCGAGTAGTAATCCCACTAACTCAGGCAGTATATAAATGTATTTTATTTATTTAAAATAATTTTACCCTGCCTTTCTCTTTTAAAAAAACCTAAGGCGGCTTACATAATTAAAAGGCAACATTTAAAGCTAAAAACAAATGGTGACAAAGATCAAACAAATACCACACTAAGAGAAAGTAAACAAAAGCAACACTCAAAATACATTCAAATCAGTAAGGCACAACCATCCATTTAAACTTCTCAGTCAGCCAGTCATTAAGGGAAAGCTTGCCTGAAGAGAAAGGTCTTTGCCTGCCTGCAGGAGGACAGCAAAGCCTGGCTTCCAGTGGGAGGGAGTTTCCTAGAACTAGGGGACATCCAATCAAATTGAGTGTTGGGAGAGTGAGAACAGACAGAAGATACTGTATTTTTCGCTCTATAAGACACATCTGACAATAAGATGCACCTAATTAAAAAAAATAAAACTCCGCCCCAGCCAGCTCATCATCCGGAATCGTTTCCTGCCCCAGAAAGGAAGGAGAAGGGTGGCGTGGTGGTGATGGTGGCGGCGGGAAGCCAGTATTCACTCCATAAAATGCACACACTCCCCCCCCAGACTTTTTTGTACAGAAATATTACTGTGAAAAATACGGTAATATTTATTTACCCAACGTGTTGTTAGTATGTGGAACTCCTTACCACAGAATGTGGTGATGATATCTGGCCTAAATGCCTTTAAAAGGGGATGGGATAGATTCCTGGAGGAAAATTCCATCACAAGTTACAATCCATGAGGATGTATAATCTCCAGGCTTAAAGGAAGGTACCTCAAAATGCCAAATGCATGGGAGAGGGGTAGCAGGAGACAGGTATCTAGTTGTCTTGTGTGCTCTCAGAGGCATCTGGTGGGGCCACTGTGAGATACAGGAAGCTGAACTAAATGGGCCCTTGGCCTGATCCAGCAGGGCTCTTCTTATGTTCTTATGAGTTCCAGAGTCTGGGGCATTTATTTATTAAAAATAAAAAACTAAAGTAGGTTGTAATCCTTTCTCCCCAAAATATTATTTTTCCATTTGCTTCAACTTCCACACCTCAGTATTTTTCTTCTCCATTAATCTCACATTTTCTCTTTTCTTTGGATTATCTTTGTCTTGGATTTGTAAATCATCATTAATTCCTGGAAGATTAAAATAATTTATTTCAAACCCTTGCCTAGGGTGCAGGCTCTTACTTCACCTAGGGATTGTTGGAACTTCATGTGAAATAGTTTCTGCTATGCTCCAGCACACTATAAATATATAACTGTCATGTGCACATAGTACTTTACCCAAATCCAATTTATTTCTCACTTTCTAATTTATGTTCTTTCCCATAATTGCTGATGGCTGAGATATTTTTGTGTTAACTTAAGCCGTTCTTCCTTTCTTCAGCATGCTGCCATCATCCCATACAGTTGATGATGCAGCATACAATTTTGCTGAGGTGTTCCTCTAGCAATAAAAACCAGATTTTAGTATCAGTCAGTGAATGTGTAAGTGGAGTATCAGCATAAAAATTGCATCTGACTTAAAGGAACATATCTAAGAGAATAAAAATGATATGAGCTTAAAATGCTGATTAAATGATAGTCAAATAAGGATCTTGCAGTCTCCTGCAGCCCACTCTTAACTATATTTATGTGAAATTTAATCTCTTGTGCATAGGAATAATATGAATTATCCCACGTGAGGTCTTTGTATACCTTTGAGGGTTGAATGTGAACTCCCAACACAGTGCTAGCCAGGTTTTCTGCTGGGCACCACAGCTACGTAATCCTGACCAGTCATGGCAAGATGAGTCCGGTGGCATAGATTACAGCAGCAAGTTAACAAGTTGTTGCTTGTATCCATCACCATGTGCTTTCACATAAATTGGTGCATGAAGAGAGATCCAAGCGGTGACTGGATGACTAGTAGCAATGTGCCACTGTAGCTTCCACTGTTGCCACTAAACATGCTGGCATAACTAACAAATAGGATTTTGGCCATTGCATTAAAAATAAAACCTTTGAAGTCTGCTACCAATATGAACCCCCTGTTCCAATAGCTTTGTTCGTATAGGATAAACATAAGGTTGGCACCGTCAGTGGGCACAAGCCTCTACAAGGGACAAAACTAAAATATTTATTCAGATAATAATTCCCATTGGAAAATAATTTTGAATCATAGGATGAGATTTTTGAAACATATG